GTCAATATATGTGACCGTGCTCCAAAATTTGACGCAAAGTGAATATGTGGTCGAACCAGACCCAAACTCGAATAAACCTTTCTTGCTCCTCACAAATTTGGCTTTTACTTGTGCCAAACTTATTGTGAAGAGTGACAGGGCAAGAAATTTGGAGGCGGTAGAAATCAGAATGACTCATCTACGGTTGCCGCATTCTGATCGTCAGCCTACGTTGACAATTGATACTGTAACGGAGTGACACCAGACTGTCGGGACAGTTTCTTGCCCCCACCATTTCACTAGTAACTCGTGTCAAACATCCACAAGCGTAGGGTCCCTGAGTTTGAAGAGGGTTGGACGTAGATCGTATAATCGCGAAACCTCATTCAGTTGCGGTAGTCCGATCTCACGTTCAGCTTTTGTGCGAGAAGGCGGATCCAAAGGGACAGCACATGGAGGATAGCGATCAGCAGCACGAAATATGACACATTAAATTTTTTCGATTTGCTCAGCCCATCGATCTAAAGGTTTTGTCAAGTTATGGATAGGTTATCCACCCTTTTTCACGTACAGTTACAATATCACTAGGTCTCCTGCTGCCCGTTTCCTGGACCAGACGGAATAACTTCCTATGGTCACCAAGGGCAACGTCCACTTCCATCTCTGACGCACAATGAGACAAGTAAGTTTCGTTGTATCTCTTCAGGTTTGCACGAACTTTTGTGCGGAGGGTTTGCTTGTCTCATTGTGTTCGCTTCCAGTCGGAATGTGCGGCGAGCATCGATAATTTCCAGAGAGTGAGATGAGACCCAGTATCCATGTTGATGATTAGACTTAACACATATGGATTTGCCTGTTGCTTATATGGTCTGGTGAATATGCGACAGGTGGCTTTCAACGGTATTCAGTGATCCCTTACCCATCCCGCAATTCAGTGTAACTCGATACGCATTATGAACAGCTGGCTACGCCCGTTGGCTGGTGTCAGTGCGCTCACAGCGTCGTCATGTATGTCCGCCGAGACGCACCTGCAGATCAGCAAATTCAACTGCGATGTCAGCGTCCACGAATCTGCTCCAAATCCAGCGACAGTTCTGGAAGCAGCCTCTCCAACCTAACCTGATAGCAATGGGATCGATTTGCGTCCAAGTATGGTTTAATACTTGTGGACGCCATATCATCTGCTGTTTCCGTGTCGGAAGTTAGTGCTCGCAAGAAATAAGAGAGCACCTTTAACCAAATGGAGTAAACACTTAGCATTATCATTTCGGTAGTCTACCACTTGTATGCCGCCCAGATGCAGCTCAACAATAAACACTTTTCAGCCTGAGATTCCAGATTCCTCAGCAGCGCTACAGTGTCTCAGCAACTTCCGTGTTGAATAAACTCTTTCAGTTGCCGATTGAAATTGTCTTTTACCGAACCATCGCTAAACTTTGTTGGGGCTTAGGAAGCGATGACGATTAGACGCTTACTAGACCCGAGAGATTTCGAAGCTATGGACAAACCAGCCAATCGTACCGCACACATTCGGCTACGTAATGCGGTCCAATCAAACGGAGCAGGTTCAGTCAGAAGACTCAGGGCAATACAAACACCGGCATGGCCGGTACCTCATCCTGCCCGAGGTACGCGTTTATGGTGTTTGGCATGTATTTACATAATTCTCGAGTACACACTTCCTGATTAGACATTCGCTAAGCGCACATCTATTCACCAAAATGAATGCATATTCTATGTCGTGGAACACGATAACGTTGGGCCGCCAATATATTTGATGGGGCTACAACAGCTGAAGCAAAGTGAGGATTTGGTCTACACAGTCACGACATCAATGAAAGCCGGATTGATCTCCACGAACAAGATTTTCAAGAGTGCCAGGCCCCCTGTGAACGAGGTCAGAGGCAGCAATTTGGAGGCGATGGAGATCAGCATGTTTCCTCTGCTAAGGGTGGTTCGTCGCGGCCCATTTCCAAATCAGTTACTCGTCCACATACCTGGAAAAGCATTAGCATGTAGTGGCAGCATGTGGGGCATCGTCAGGGTTCGATTCTTGATGTGCATGGTAGATGCGCACTACTGACGACGTCCAACAGACTTAAACTACAGTCTAGTGCTTTTCCGGGATTGTGGACGACTATAAGAATGAGAAACGGAATGCGATGAACCTCCCGTAATTACATCAAAATCACCTACTTGTAATTCCCCTATTGTTGCCGCTTTCCGATCATGTTCCTCCCTTGATTATCCGGACAATTGCGGAGCGGCCCCAGTCGATCAGGACTGTTTCCTGCTCCCACAGTTTCACAAGCACCTCGTGTATATCATCATTAAGAGCTGAAGCCCTAATGTGGATAGGGCTAGATGAAGATCATCTGCTCCCGAGGATTTATTTAACATCCATAGTCAAACCTCACGTTCCACTTCTGAGCAAATGTGAGGAATCAAAGGCAATGCCCACGAAGCAGAACGATCGGTGGCCGGCGAGAAATCTAACTAATCCGACTGAGTAAATTGCGTTACAAATTGCTTAGCCCAAAGCTCCAACAGTTTTGACAAGTTGTGAATAGATTGTCCAATCTCGACACATATTTTTCGCTAAGAACGGGTCTCCTACTGCCCGTATCTTAAATCAGGTGGAACACCTTTCCTAGTTTAACAGAGGCGGCGGACATTGCCATCACTAAAGCAAAATGAGACCACTAGGATTCGCCGTTTCAATGCAGGCTGAAACGGATTTTATCCCGGCGTTTTGTGCGAGTCTCGTGGTTTCACTTCCAGCCGGAATGTGACCGCAAACATCGAGAAGTTCCAAAGACTGCGAAGAGACCTAATATCTATGCACGCGATCAGACTTACTTCATGTGAAGTCGCCTGTTGCTAGTAAGTTCGGGTGAAGATGGGACCAGTGAGCTTCAATTGCATGCAGTGAACGCTTAATCAACGCGCATGTCAGCGTACTATGACACGCACTCAGATCAGCTGGCTTCGACAATTAACAGATGTCAATGCGCTCACAGCATCTTTGTGAGCGTACGCCAAAATACCTCCGCAGGTCAGCACACACATGTGAAATGTCGATGTCCCCACATGTGCTCCAAATCGAGCGACAGTTGCGGACGCAGCCTCACCATCGGTAACTTATCGCAATGGGATCGATTTGCGACCATAGTTGGTTCGAGTTTGATGGGCGCCACTTCACCCTCCGGCGGGTGCTATGTCGGAGATTAGTGCTCGCAAGAAATAAGCGAGCATCTTCACACAAAAGAAGTAACCGCTCACCGTTATCATTACGGTAGCCTACACTATGTTGGCCGCCCAGATGCAGTTCGTCAGTGGATAATATTCCAACTTGAGCGTTCAGATGCCCAGCCAGCACAACAGGATCCGTGCTTCTTCTGTGGAAAAGTAGCTGGGTCATTTGGCGGTAGAAATCATATGTTACCGAATCATGGCTAGAGTTTGCGGGTTTATAGAGAGCGGTGATTTGTAGACGCCTGTTAGTCCCGCGCGAGTTCGTAGTTTTGCACCAGCCAGCCAATCGTACCGTACACATCCGTCTACTGATTGAGATCCAACTAACCAGAGCAGCCTCAACCAAGGGACTCAGGGCAAAACCAACACCGGATTGGCCGGTGCTCGAAGCTGCATCGTCTCTGGATAGGCGTAATGAGCAAGTGCTGCTGGTGTCAACTGAAGGGGATTGCAAAGTGAGCACAGAGCTCAAGTCTTGCAGACGCGTCTCCGATAAGCAGCGGATATCGGTCGGGAGAGTCACTACTTTGCAGAAAAGTGCTGCCAGTTGACCGATCCGTAGCAATGTGCTTAAATTGAAGTTTGCCAAACTGAAGGTGTCAACGGTTTAATGGAAGAGTGCTCCACTGTAAAGTTTGGGCCATCTACGAACCGATAGTGGGAAGGTAGAAATGGCTCAGGCACACAAATCTGCTGAGGTCAAATCACAGCTAGACTCCAAGTCTCCCATTACCGCCATCTCTACCACGGGACATCTTGCTAGACACGTTGTGTTTAGAAGGGGAAGCAGAGCAGCTTCGTGGATCACAACATATGGTGCAAGCAGCAGGTGACGCACAATGCAGTCTAACTCGAAAGCGGAGACGACCAACATGGCAAAAAGCCCATCCCCAAATCAGAACCCAACCAAAGCAGAGACGACCACCATCGCTTCAAGTTGATCTCCAGAGCGAAACACAGCCGGTTGCTCGGGAGTCACAAGACCTATCGTGCAGGCCAAGTGGAAGAAAAAGCAACCACGATGGCGAGAGGTGAACCCCAGATTAAACATCTGCGATCAAGCCCAAATGTCGAAAATAGCTGGGACAATCGTTTTGAAGTGGGCACTAATAGAGACGTAAGCAGAGCTGAATGTGGGAAGCGTCTGCCTCGGCGGGCGTTCAGGCGATCGATCCAATAGGCCAGTATGTTTTTAAACACACAGTTACTTGTACTATCCTCATACTAGTAAGTAGAACGTTTGTGTGCAGAGCGGATGGGAGTTGCTTTTCCTTGACTCAGCTAGGAGTTGCAACAGGCATAGGTAAAGAAAAAGCGTTTACAACACATTGAAACAAAACAAATGCCGTCATTTACGGCAGCCATTTAAAGTACCTCTTTGATTGTTGTCTTAGAAAAGGAACTATTCAAAATATGTTGGCAGTTGTGCTGAATTACGGAATTACAGCTGCCAATTGAGCAACAAATTTAATCCAGCCGTGGGCGGCAGAAGTTGTTATGAAGCCATTGATCTCTAATTTGGTATGTCGCATTAAGCGTACAAGATGCAATCCAGATAAGAGCAATCAGGATATGGTTGTGAGATTTTCGTCAAAATTTTCTGCATGAATTATTGAAAGGATTTGAAAAGAGTATGGTTTTATCACTCAATCGCGTGGTTATTGCCTGCAACCTTTCCTAACTTCCACACATGCTGCCGTTGTTTCTGACAATTTAACGCAGACGCATCGACCACTAACACCGTACCTGCAACCACAGTTGCGGTGATGAGGTCGCATACCGGCGGTGATGCGACGGAAGGAAATCAGACGAACGTTTCTCTAGGTAAGTGTATTGCGTTGTGGTTCATTGTCAAGATCCGTTTGTCAAATCGATCTATTAACGCCGTTGCTTGTATTCATATATCGTGTAGAAGTTTGTCATGAAGCCTTACCATTGGTAAAATGCTGGTGAACCAATCAGAACACCAAAAACGATTTCCACGGTTGGAATAGTAGTTGCATTTTCAAAATCTTCCTTATGTTCCACGGTGATTTGGACGCGATGTTTCCATTATCAACAACTTGCTAAATTCAACCCATTATATTTTAAGATTTCAGCCTTAAACTTTCGGTTTGATGCACGTTCTCCTACACCTTTTGCTCTAGAAATGCATCTTCTAATGTACTCCTGCGGATGTTTATTACTGGAACAATTCCTGTATTCAAAGCATCTCTACATTCCCATTTTACGTAAAATTATGCAGACAACCAATCATTATAACATTAAGTTTCCCCATAATGTTAGCCAAATTGAGCGAAAAACATTCCATAGAATTGCCAAAGTATGTTCAACCCACAAATGCTCTCCTCGACTTAAAGAATGCTCCTGACTTACCTACATTTACAAGCTATCAATACGTCGATACTTGCATGTTATCATTTGCCCCTATCATATAGGGTTATAGAAATTGGCAAATGTAATTCCTGAAACACTCATTCAGCATGAGTGGTAGAATTACCACGTGAAATCACATGAGCAAACACTGACTTTATCAACGTGTTCCCTGTGGCTCAATTACGGTTTCGTCCCCCCTCTTAATTCAATTTCCTATTTTGCATATCCCTGTGCAGATACGACAGTCGGAGTCAGAAGCACCGGTTCGCAAGCCGGCACACATGAGTTAACCGGAAGCGTCAATTTGTTGTCAACCACACATGGTGAGTCCTTCGCAACAACCGTAGTTAACCCTAGTTATCAACGCGTATTTTATGTCAAAGACAATTTCCAATCCATTGTCTTATAACAAAAGTATTTATTTGCAGAAAAATACAAAATATCACAAATAAATATGTTTCCTTCAGATTACATCTGCAGCAATTTGACTGATACCCAATTATGTACAGGTTCATATGCCAAATCCTCCGAATTCCCATAATTTTAATAGCTTTGGGCGGATTCGAACAACCATGAATATGTCAGGAAACAGTATGCTGATTCATCTGTGAAAACCATCTCTACGCGCATCGCGGTCTTCTGGGTCGTCGTTCGTTAGCCTCATCTTAGTAGCATCAACGATTTGCAAGAAATCCTTGTAAAGTGTAGGCGAAAGACGTGTACTCTTCTAAATATACCTTGCCTTAACGAACAAGTAGTGCGTGCAATCAGCAAATTGGTAGACCATGAACGGTAATGGCGTAAACCGTGTTGCTCGGGTGCTCTGATGTTGCGGCGATATAATTTGTCAACTAAAGAATCAGCATTGATTGCCTCCATCACGTCCGAGAGTACAGGGAGGAGGACCACAGGGCGATAGTTGGTGGGTTCCCAGCGATAACGACCTTTTGAAAACCAGAGTGGTTGTGATATTTTTTCACATAGTAAGTATATTTCCCTTACCACGCAAGTTTGGAAGTAATAAGATATTGGCCCAGCCAGCGTTATTGCTGTTACCTTCAACGCTCTTTAGTTGATGCCATAGATTCTGGCCGAACTGGAGGTGTGTGGCGAGAGCAGTTTCTTTAACACAGTTGTAGTAACAAGAGCGATGTGATTAAGCGCTTAATTTGTGACTATTGCTGTAGGAAGATACAAATGGCGGACGTCTCGTTTCGGAAGGTAGGGGCCTACTGCGTCCATAGGGCGTCTGTTGCCTCGTCAGCAATCTGTGCCACTCCGAGTGTCGTATTGTGTGGAGATATGCCGATTGGTTTTAATATTCTTATGTAGAATCATTTTATTTCTGACAAAGTTACAAGCTAAATATTGTTGTTGAGTGAGATTTACCTCACGGACAAACATAATGGCTTGATTGCGTTGGATCACGTAGTCACTCCAAATATCTGGACCAGTACAAGCACACTAAATTTGCCAAGCTGCATTCCTTATTGATTCGCTCTCGCGCGTCTTATTGCTGATGTAATGCAAGGGACTTGTGGAACCAACGTGCTTCGTCTAAGAAGCAGTTGCGATTGGATTACTGAAGTGTCCGACAAACGGAATCCAGTTACTGTCATGAGAAAAAGGTTTCAGGTATTCCCAATCGGTCGTCTCATCTAGCTCATCCAGGAGTATTTAGTGTGTGACAACACATATTTATTATGTGTGTTACTCCGGATATTCGGTGTAACACGCATAGTTATAAAGTACGGTGACATGATCGCTTAACCCTATTGTGGTGTCTATAAGAAGCTTATCAACCATGAGTTCCTCATTTGTAAGTATGAGGTCAAGTAACCATGGTACTGCGAACGTTGCTATGCAAGCAAATGAAGGTGATATTTCAGCATGAATATAGTAGTCGATTTTTGGAATGCGGATGCAGAAGATACCCGCGAAGTGGGAGAATTGGCATTGCAACCAAACATCGGCACGATAATAGCACATAAAACGATTTTATGTATGTCTGACAATAGCCTGTTAAGATTGGCCAGGAAATTCTAGCTAAAATTAACTGGCTCTGGGCTACTTGCATCCACCACGTCTATCATGACTTCAATAAGTGGTGCTATCTTGGATGAGGCTAAGTGCAAACTTTTTTTCTGAAGATTTGCAAAGCATTGAGCTATGATTGCATGCATGCCCTTTGTATCCTCCTTCGACGGAGGCTCAGGTTGGTTTCAGCTGCAAGATATCTTCAAGCGGAAAGCCTGGATTGTCGACTGCGGAAGGTTTCAGAGATTGGTGGAAAATAGATCGAAAAGCATGTAAGCAGTGATCTAGTAAGTTGTGTGCTCATTCATTACTGGAGCTGGCGATCCGCTAGTTGTAATAGAAGGAAATTGCAGTTAGCGTAATTAAAAGTAGGCGATGTGATATTCTAGCTGGAATATTGGATGATATTCGTCTACTCACCGAGCGAAATTTGACACGGTGTGAACACCGAGAATGTACGCAGGATCAAAATTAAATGCGGGGTAACATGGGAATCTTTTTCGGTATGTTTACTTTTGTTGACCAATTATGAACCAGTTCTTCATGATTATTTAACTAGGAAGGGAAATTAATATATTTTCATTGTCGCCACACGTTCAATATGAATTAGTGAGCATTTGTCAAGGTAGGTGTTAATGAATACCACAGATTGGGTCATGGTATTTAAGTACGTATGCTCAATTTTGCATATTACTCTTGACGTGTCTCGCCAAAATCAGATGAGTAAATTTGACGTAACGGTTGAGGAATCATTTATCAGCATCGTTGATACGAGCAGCAAGGTACAAAGGAATTTTCCTGACTCATTTTGATAGAAGCAGAGAAATACGAACTGCATAGTGATGCTTGACGTGGCTAAGCAATTGACATTGCTACTTTTATGTTAAGCTACATATTGTATGTGCAGAGATATCTGCTAAATCAATCCAGGGTTGCGTTTGTGTCAGACACCTGTCATCTCATGAATCTAGGTTGTGTACATCGAACTTCTAGCACGGCTTGTTCCGTTCCTTTTCTGGTACAATAGACCAGCATTTCGCATTCTGTTTCCGTCCATAGCTTGTAGATTGGCTTGATTTAAAGCAACAGCAAAAATATCAAGTGGATTTAAACTCTAGATGGATAAGTCGAGTAGGCGCTGCACGTGTTGTGATGAAGAAATACACCGAACTCATTACTTCTCTGAAACATCTAACCGGATAAATCAATAAATGCAACCACGAGATCAGGTGCAAATTTACTTCTCCTCTCAGTGTTGTCGTTTTTGTTTATTTTGTTGCCGAGCAATTTGAAATCCATTCTCATCAAAATCAAGGCTGCGCGGATATGCATACACAAAAAGGCTGGATTTGCAGCAAATTCATGTCAGGCTTAAAACGTTAAGACGTGGCATTCTTCGGACTGTATGGAATATTTTGGACATTTCCTGGGAGGAATTCCCAAACACTGCACTAATTTGGGAAATAGCATGAAGCGTGGAATGCGCCAAACAAACGAGTGGGCGGTGATGAATTCGTGATATATCCATAGGATTTGATGCTGAGTTAATCTGACAGGCGCTGTTTTCATAGGCGGTTTGACTGATGAAAAGCCACAAATTCCAGCAAGCTTTTCTTTTTGTAATACTACATACATATGCTTGATGAAAACTATTATTATGGGGTTATCGAATTTGCAGGATATATTATATAGGAATTCTTTTTCGATAAGTGGATTTAATTATATTGTGGAAGCTTAGTAAGTAAAAACTTGATGGAGCTACTGACTTATTGGGATTTACAAATAATTATCAAGTTGGGAAACTGCCACGCATCTTATCGGAACCTTTAGCAATGCTGGCTATTAAGTCGCACTCTAAAAACTTAAGGTTATATTGAAATGCGCTCATTCATCAACGAACTGGAAGTAGTCCACCGAGTAGCTGTTCTGACCATAGAGACGGGGCATGCAAATGTGCTGTAATTTTGTAATGGATAAACTTACTTATGGTTTAAGAAAGGCAGGAAAATTGTATCCATAACCGTTGCTCACGAGTACTGTAAGAGAGACGTAAGAGGAGCTGATGTTAATCCGCGTCTAGCTCAGTGCGATCGATCTCAAGAGATCGAACGATTTGGAAATTGTATTTTAAAACTAATTAAATTGTACTAGCCTCATACTAGTAAACATTACGTTTTCGTGCGGTTCGGGTGTAAGATCTTACCCTTGACGGGGCTGAGTGTAACAGAGTGCATAGCTGATGTAGAGCGTTTACGACAGTAACGACCGGAGTCAGAAAACCACAAATATATCAGTCAGCTTTGAACAATTGCAGGTACATTGGCAGCTGCAGCAGTCGCGTTTTTGAAAAGTCACAGTGGCATTTGATTAAACTGCTATCACACAAATTATGCATTCAATTCGATCGAAAATCGGAACTGAAGCTGACATCGCCAGAAATTATTTCAGGACGCCAGAGTTTTCTCGACTTGTATCATGGTACAACGGTGGTCGCAAATTCTGAAGCCACTGCCAACACGAAAGCAGGTGTGTCCAGCTGACCTGAGAATGCGACGACAGACATCAATGGCATTCAGAATTCGCAGATGAATGGAAGCTTCAAAAGCGATACTCCGACTTAGTCCAGAATGTTGCAGGATCACTAATGCTGCCTTGAACCTAGAGTCAGTCAATAAACCAGTATCCAGAGAAAAGCGCCTTGTGGCAATCAGGAAATAAAAGCATTGTAAGTATTAGACGGGAGAAAAACAGACAAACAGCGTGCGTCATTTCCAAATTGGGAACATGGTGTACGCACGAGACTTCCGTTCATCATCATCATCAACAACATCATCATCATCATCATTATCCACGTTTGGTAGAGGTGGGAAACACCTCAGCTACTGTGCCGCCATGAATCATATGTAATAGTAGAAATGCAACAGGTGCGTGCCACCTGAGCTACCGATAACCGACTGGCATCCTTCCGTTAAGCTAACTACCGCCTACATTGCAGCAAAATTGTTACTATGCAAAACTATGGAAGGCTACGTAGTGGGATCGTGTTTGTATGGGAAGACTATGAGGGAAGTTTTGGGATAAAGTAACTCACAGCACGAACGCCATGGGGTTCGGCTCCTAGCCATATCAGAAATATATCGCCATAAAGTTGTTCATGGTCTTTTAGACCCCAACCAGGGAACCTAGAAGTTCCAACGGAGGCCAGCTTCGAAGTGAGGGTCTTCATTCCTTTCGAGCAAGCAATCGCTTGTTCACCCCTCCTCTTCCTTCCATCCACACTCCCGACGCGCAGAAAACGCACGTCGCGGAACTCGGTGGGTTCGCATGCGTAATACGCGGTCGAGCCATCGGAGTCTGTTCTGTGAAATAACGGTGCTGAGCGGATCATTTCCTTTCCCTGTACGGTAAACAATGCGTCGAACATGCGCTTTGCTTACTCGGTGTTCCAACCAAACTTGAGCTAAATTGCGAAGGCACCGGGGTTCGAAGGTGAGTAGCCTCTGCTGAGCTAAAGGGCCAGTTCAACAACCGTACAGTAGGGTCGAACGTACCGCTACAATGTACACTGTAACCTTCAAGGCGAGAATGATGTAGCGCTGCCGCCATAAGTGGCGAACGTTAAGAAAGCTCCTCAGGTTTTTGCTATACGGTTCGTGATCTCATCTTCAATCCCACGGACATTGATACAACTTCCTAGGTAGTTAAATGTTTGAAAGACTTCTAGCTGATCCCCACCAAGCGTCAGCGCAGGAGGCGGTCCAGGCCAAGTTTGGAAGCATCTTTTGAACTTCGAGGGTAAGAAGCAAGGCCCGAAGTGACGGAAAGCCAGTGATAATCTGTCCAGTGCCGCTTGGCACGTCTGGGAGCTGTCGTGGATGAGGGCAATATCGTCAACTTGCTACAAGTAAAGAATTCGTTCTACTGGAACAGATGTACAAATCCTATTTCATGTCTTCTGAACTCGATTTCCATGACTTAGTCATTAGCAAAGTTGTAAAGGAAACTTGACAGCGGGCATCCTTGTCTCACACCGCTGGAAATATTGAACTGTGACGGCAGTTGGCTCTAATCACTCATCCTGCCCGAGGTACGCGTTTATGGTGTTTGGCATGTATTTACATAATTCTCGAGTACACACTTCCTGATTAGACATTCGCTAAGCGCACATCTATTCACCAAAATGAATGCATATTCTATGTCGTGGAACACGATAACGTTGGGCCGCCAATATATGTGATGGGGCTACAACAGCTGAAGCAAAGTGAGGATTTGGTCTACACAGTCACGACATCAATGAAAGCCGGATTGATCTCCACGAACAAGATTTTCAAGAGTGCCAGGCCCCCTGTGAACGAGGTCAGAGGCAGCAATTTGGAGGCGATGGAGATCAGCATGTTTCCTCTGTTAAGGGTGGTTCGTCGCGGCCCATTTCCAAATCAGTTACTCGTCCACATACCTGGAAAAGCATTAGAATGTAGTGGCAGCATGTGGGGCATCGTCAGGGTTCGATTCTTGATGTGCATGATAGATGCGCACTACTGACGACGTCCAACAGACTTAAACTACAGTCTAGTGCTTTTCCGGGATTGTGGACGACTATAAGAATGAGAAACGGAATGCGATGAACCTCCCGTAATTACATCAAAATCACCTACTTATAATTCCCCTATTGTTGCCGCTTTCCGATCATGTTCCTCCCTTGGTTATCCGGACAATTGCGGAGCGGCCCCAGTCGATCAGGACTGTTTCCTGCTCCCACAGTTTCACAAGCACCTCGTGTATATCATCATTAAGAGCTGAAGCCCTAATGTGGATAGGGCTAGATGAAGATCATCTGCTCCCGAAGATTTATTTAACATCCATAGTCAAACCTCACGTTCCACTTCTGAGCAAATGTGAGGAATCAAATGCACTGCCCACGAAGCAGAACGATCGGTGGCCGGCGAAAATCTAACTACTCCGACTGAGTAAATTGCGTTACAGATTGCTTAGACCAAAGCTCCAACAGTTTTGACAAGTTGTGAATAGATTGTCCACTCTCGTCACATATTTTTCGCTAAGAACGGGTCTCCTACTGCCCGTATCTTAAATTAGGTGGAACACCTTTCCTAGTTTACCAGAGGCGGCGGATATCTCCATATCTGAAGCACAATGAGACCACCAGGATTCGCCATCTCACTCCAGGCTGAAACGGATTTTAACCCGGAGTTTTGTGCGAGTCTCATTGTTTTCACTTCCAGCCGGAATGTGACCGCAAACATCGAGAAGTTCCAAAGACTGCGAAGAGACCTAATATCTATGTTGGCGATTAGACTTACTTCATGTGAAGTCGCCTGTTGCTAGTAAGTTCGGGTGAAGATGGGACCAGTGAGCTTCAATTGCATGCAGTGAACGCGTAATCAACGCGCATGTCAGCGTACTATGATACGCACTCAGATCAGCTGGCTTCGACAATTATCTGATGTGAATGCGCTCACAGCATTTTCGTAAGCGTTCGCCAAAATGCCTCCGCAGGTCAGCACACACATGTGAAATGTCGCTGTCCCCACATGTGCTCCAAATCGAGCGACAGTTGCGGACGCAGCCTCACCATCGGTAACTTATCGCAATGGGATCGATTTGCGACCATAGTTGGTTCGAGTTTGATGGGCGCCAAGTCACCCTCCGGCGGGTGCTATGTCGGAGATTAGTGCTCGCAAGAAATAAGCGAGCATCTTCACACAAAAGAAGTAACCGCTCACCGTTATCATTACGGTAGCCTACACTATGTTGGCCGCCCAGATGCAGTTCGTCAGTGGATAATATTCCAACTTGAGCGTTCAGATGCCCAGCCAGCACAACAGGATCCGTGCTTCTTCTGTGGAAAAGTAGCTGGGTCATTTGGCGGTAGAAATCATATGTTACCGAATCATGGCTAGAGTTTGTGGGTTTATAGAGAGCGGTGATGGGTAAACACCTGTTAGTCCCGCGCGAGTTCTAAGCGTTGCATGAGCCAGCCAATCGTACCGTACACATCCGTCTACTGATTGAGATCCAACTAACCAGAGCAGCCTCAGCCAAGGGACTCAGGGCAAAACCAACACCGGATTGGCCGGTGCTCGAAGCTGCATCGTCACCGGATAGGCGTAATGAGCAAGTGCTGCTGGTGTCAGCTGAATGAGATTGCAATGTGAGCACAGAGCTCGAGTCTTGCAGACGCGTCTCCGATAAGCAGCGGATATCGGTCGGGATGGTCTCTACTATGCAGACAAGTGCTGCCTGTTGACCGATCCGTAGCAATGTGCTTAAATTGAAGCTTGCCAATCTGAAGGTGTCAACGGTTTAATGGAAGAGTGCTCCACTGTAAAGTTTGGGTCATCTACGAGCCAATAATGGGAATTTATAAATGGCTCAGCCTCAAATTTCAGCTGAGGTCCAATCACAGCTAGACTCCAAGACTGCCATAACCTCCCTCTCTACCATGGGACTTCCTGCTAGACACGTTGTGTTTAGAAGGGGAAGCAGGGCAGCTACGTGGATCACAACGTATGATGTAAGCAGCAGGTGACGCACAATGCAGCCTGACCCGAAAGCGGAAACGACCAGCATGGCAAAAAGCCCATCCCCAAATCAGAACCCAACCAAAGCAGAGACGACCACCATCGCTTCAAGTTGATCTCCAGAGCGAAACACAGCCGGTTGCTCGGGAGTCACAAGACCTATCGTGCAGGCCAAGTGGAAGAAAAAGCAACCACGATGGCGAGAGGTGAACCCCAGAGTACATAACTGCGATCAAGCCCAAATGTCGAAAATAGCTAGGACAATCGTTTTGAAGTGGGAACTAATAGAGACGTAAGCAGAGCTGAATGTGGGAAGCGTCTGCCTCGGCGGGCGTTCAGGCGATCGATCCAATAGGCCAGTATGTTTTTAAACACACAGTTACTTGTACTATCCTCATACTAGTAAGTAGAACGTTTGTGTGCAGAGCGGATGGGAGTTGCTTTTCCTTGACTCAGCTAGGAGTTGCAACAGGCATAGGTAAAGAAAAAGCGTTTACAACACATTGAAACAAAACAAATGCCGTCATTTACGGCAGCCATTTAAAGTACCTCTTTGATTGTTGTCTTAGAAAAGGAACTATTCAAAATATGTTGGCAGTTGTGCTGAATTACGGAATTACAGCTGCCAATTGAGCAACAAATTTAATCCAGCCGTGGGCGGCAGAAGTTGTTATGAAGCCATTGATCTCTAATTTGGTATGTCGCATTAAGCGTACAAGATGCAATCCAGATAAGAGCAATCAGGATATGGTTGTGAGATTTTCGTCAAAATTTTCTGCATGAATTATTGAAAGGATTTGAAAAGAGTATGGTTTTATCACTCAATCGCGTGGTTATTGCCTGCAACCTTTCCTAACTTCCACGCATGCTGCCGTTGTTTCTGACAATTTAACGCAGACGCATCGACCACTAACACCGTACCTGCAACCACAGTTGCGGTGATGAGGTCGCATACCGGCGGTGATGCGACGGAAGGAAATCAGACGAACGTTTCTCTAGGTAAGTGTATTGCGTTGTGGTTCATTGTCAAGATCCGTTTGTCAAATCGATCTATTAACGCCGTTGCTTGTATTCATATATCGTGTAGAAGTTTGCCATGAAGCCTTACCATTGGTAAAATGCTGGTGAACCAATCAGAACACCAAAAACGATTTCCACGGTTGGAATAGTAGTTGCATTTTCAAAATCCTCCTTACGTTCCACGGTGATTTGGACGCGATGTTTCCATTATCAACAACTTGCTAAATTCAACCCATCATTTTTTAAGATTTCAGCCTTAAACTTTCGGTTTGATGCATGTTCTCCATACACCTTTTGCTCTAGAAATGCATCTTCTAATGTACTCCTGCGGGTGATAATTACTGGAATAATTCCTGTATTCAAAGCATCTCTACATTCCCATTTTACGTAAAATTATGCAGACAACCAATCATTATAACATTAAGTTTCCCCATAATGTTAGCCAAATTGAGCGAAAAACATTCCATAGAATTGCCAAAGTATGTTCAACCCACAAATGCTCTCCTCGACTTAAAGAATGCTCCTGACTTACCTACATTTACAAGCTATCAATACGTCGATACTTGCATGTTATCATTTGCCCCTATCATATAGGGTTATAGAAATTGGCAAATGTAATTCCTGAAACACTCATTCAGCATGAGTGGTAGAATTACCACGTGAAATCACACGAGCAAACACTGACTTTATCAACGTGTTCCCTGTGGCTCAATTACGGTTTCGTCCCCCCTCTTAATTCAATTTCCTATTTTGCATATCCCTGTGCAGATACGACAGTCGGAGTCAGAAGCACCGGTTCGCAAGCCGGCACACATGAGTTAACCGGAAGCGTCAATTTGTTGTCAACCACACATGGTGAGTCCTTCGCAACAACCGTAGTTAACCCTAGTTATCAACGCGTATTTTATGTCAAAGACAATTTCCAATCCATTGTCTTATAACAAAAGTATTTATTTGCAGAAAAATACAAAATATCACAAATAAATATGTTTCCTTCAGATTACATCTGCAGCAATTTGACTGATACCCAATTATGTACAGGTTCATATGCCAAATCCTCCGAATTCCCATAATTTTAATAGCTTTGGGCGGATTCGAACAACCATGAATATGTCAGAAAACAGTATACTGATTCATCTGGGAATACCATCTCTACGTGTATCGCGGTCTTCTGGGTCAGCGTTCGTTAGCGTCATCTTAGTATCATCAGCGATTTGCAAGAAATATTAAATGCGTAAATTCTTTGAAGAACTCACGAAACATACGCAGCTCCAGAACTGCTCCTTGTGGAACTACACATTTAACATGATTCGGATTGGACAGCACAATTCGATCTCCGAATTGCAGTTGCAAATTCTGTAGGAAAATCCTGATCCACCCAAAGAGAGCATCTCCAAATCCACAGCTGTTGAGATTTCGAAAAAGTATGAAGCAGTCCAGTCGGTTGAAGTCCTTGGGAAGTCTAGGTAAAAGGCTTGTACCCTCCTAACTATACCGGCCATTCACGAACAAGTAGTGCGTGCAATCAGTATGTTGGGAGCACATGCACGGTGTTAGCGTAAACCGTGTTGCTCGGATGTTCTGATGTTGCGGCGATATAATTTGTCAACTAAAGACTCAGCATTGATTGCCTCCATCACGTTCGAGAGTACAGGGAGGAGCGATAGTTGGGCGATAGTTGGTGGGTTCCCAGCGATAACCGCTTTTTGAAAATCATGGTGGTTTCGATATGCTTTCACATAGTAAGTATATTTTCCTTACCACGCAAGTTTGGAAGTAATAAGATATTGGCCCAGCCAGCGTTATTGCTGCTACGTTCAACGCCATCTAGTTGATGTCATTGTTTCTGGCCGAACTGGAGGTGTGTGGCGAGAGCAGTTTCTTTAACACAGTTGTAGTAACAAGAGCGATGTGATTAAGCGCTGAATTTGTGACTATTGCTGTAGGAAGATACAAATGGCGGACGTCTCGTTTTGGAAGGTAGGGGCCTACTGCATCCTTAGGAAGTTTGATGCCTCGTCAGCAATCTGTGCCACTCCGAGTGTCGTGTTGAATGGAGAGATGCCGATTGGTGTTAACAATCTTATGTAGAATCATTTTATTTTTGACAAGGTTACAAGCTAAATGTTGTAGTTGAGTGAGATTTACCTCACGGACAAACATAATGGCTTGATTGCGTTGGATCACGTAGTCACTCCATGTTTCTGGACCAGTACAAGCACACTAAATTTGCCAAGCTGCATTCCTTATTGATTCGCTCTCGCGCGTTTTATTGCTGATGTAAAGCAGGGGATTGTTGGAACCAATGTGCTTCGTTTAAGAAGCAGTTGCGATTGGATTACTGAAGTGTCCGACAAACGGAATCCAGTTACTGTCATGAGAAAAAGGTTTCAGGTATTCCCAATCGGTCGTCTCATCTAGCTCATCCAGGAGTATTTAGTGTGTGACAACACATATTTATTATGTGTGTTACTCCGGATATTCGGTGTAACACGCATAGTTATAAAGTACGGTGACATGATCGCTTAACCCTATTGTGGTGTCTATAAAAAGCTTGTCAACCATGAGTTCCTCATTTGTAAGTATGAGGTCAAGTAACCATGGTACTGCGAACGTTGCTATGCAAGCAAATGAAGGTGATATTTCAGCATGAATATAGTAGTCGATTTTTGGAATGCGGATGCAGAAGATACCCGCGAAGTGGGAGAATTGGCATTGCAACCAAACATCGGCACGATAATAGCACATAAAACGATTTTATGTATGTCTGACAATAGCCTGTTAAGATTGGCCAGGAAATTCTAGCTAAAATTAACTGGCTCTGGGCTACTTGCATCCACCACGTCTATCATGACTTCAATAAGTGGTGCTATCTTGGATGAGGCTAAGTGCAAACTTTTTTCTGAAGATTTGCAAAGCATTGAGCTATGATTGCATGCATGCCCTTTGTATCCTCCTTCGACGGAGGCTCAGGTTGGTTTCAGCTGCAAGATATCTTCAAGCGGAAAGCCTGGATTGTCGACTGCGGAAGGTTTCAGAGATTGGTGGAAAATAGATCGAAAAGCATGTAAGCAGTGATCTAGTAAGTTGTGTGCTCAGTCATTACTGGAGCTGGCGATCCGCTAGTTGTAATAGAAGGAAATTGCAGTTAGCGTAATTAAAAGTAGGCGATGTGATATTCTAGCTGGAATATTGGATGATATTCGTTTACTCGCCGAGCGAAATTTGACACGGTGTGAACACCCAGAATGTATGCAGAATGAAAATTAAAGCCAAGGGAATGGAAGGACATATTTCTGAACAGTTACTTTTGTTGGCCAAGTACAAACCTGTGCCTGGTGAGTATTTTAGCTGGGAAGGGAAATTTTCAAAATTTTTTGTCTCCACGCGTTCAGTATGAGTTATTTGGCATTTGGCGTATCAGAAGCTATTAAAATCTACAGGTTAGGTCAAGGAAACAATCATGTATGCTCAATGTTTCATAGCACTCTTGACGTATCTCACCAAATTCAGATGAGTAAATTTGACGTAATATTTGAGGAGTCGTTTCTCAGCATCGTTGATTCGGAAAACAAGATAAAAAATTTCTGGAATGGTTTATATATAATAAGCTATAAACGAAGTGGATAAATTTCATTCCACTTTATTTGGTTTGTTCTGCCTCCCTGAATATTGTTCTAGTAACTGGCAACGTTGCTTACGCTAATTGCGCTTATCTTCGGTAATTTCGTTGCGTTTGTAGCATTTTTATATAACTTGTGGACATTTTTTATTTATCACGAATTTGTTGCTAACCAACTTCCTTCATATGGTAATTTAGCGAAGAGTTATGCCACGTATCTGTATGCATTATTGGATTTATTTTATTTCAACTTATCCCCAACTTATTACCCACTACATCGTTCATACTGGCTCCAGGAGACAGTTGGTCGTTGCTGGAGGGGACGGGGTGCACCGTTCTTGTGGCCGTGCTAGGCTCAAAGAGCGGTTCCATGCATTCAGTGGGGAGCGGACTACGGTCCAGTCAATGGTACAATGGTACAATGGTTTATTACGGGTAAAAAAGCGTTGCTTAACAAGTCCCGTAGGATGGAAAATTATTGTGAAAATAAATTGCATGATAAAGGGAAAAGCGTTGTGGTGGACTCACCATAGACTTATGCGGAATAGCGGAGATGTTCGCGTATGAAACATATAAATCTATAAATCCATTAGTTAGGCGTTTGGCAAAACATCGTTTGATTGCGTTTTGTAGCCCCTGGCTAACAAGTCATAAAATGAAATGTAAGTGAGACAATGCATCGTCAACACGTTTTTTAAATATCGCCAGATTGGGAGCAGAGACGACATAATTATGGAGGGCATTCCAAGGCTGGCACACGCGGAGAGAAAAGAAATTTTTGCGGCATTCAAGCCAGCTATACTGAATTGTCAGTTTCAGAGAGTGACCTCTTAATTTAGTGTTGTGGTTCAATTCCAGCAGCGGACGACAAATGTGGTTTGGGTTCTTCAGAATCTAGTAAACCACTATGAGATCCACCCGCAGAAGCCGATATCGACTGCTGTAGATTCTTAGAGATTTCAGTCTAAGCTGATAGGGGAGATGAAAGAGGCCCCTGACATTCTTGGTTGCCCGTCGTTGAGGAGTCTCGAGAGCAACGAGATCCTGTTTCTGCCACGGCTGCCATGCCTGAATAGCATACTCCACGTGAGGTCGCACTTAGGCGTTAAGCATTCGGGGAAAGATTGAGGGTTCAAACCGACCTAAGGCTCTGCGAAGAAGGCCGAAGTGTTGATTGCCGGTTTTCGTCGCCTTCTCTGCTTGTTTTGAACACCCGAGATCCTCCTGTACCAATACACCTAGGTCGCGCTCCTGAGAAACCTTTGCCAAGGTATGGTCTCCAATCTTGTAAGCGCTCACCAGCTGGTGACGCAGATGCATCACTTTGCACTTAGCCATGTTCAATTGAAGCTTGTTCCTCTTTGACCATTCGTAAATGGAATCTATGTCATGTTGGAGCAGATACTGATCTGCCTTGTTACTAATCGCCCGCCAAATCTTGACGTCATCGGCGAAAAGCAGGAATTTTGAGGAGATGACTCTTGCCAAGTCGTTGATAAACATCAGTAATAAACGCGGTCCCAGCACTGAGCCTTGTGGGACACCACATTCCACCTCAATTGGGTTAGAAGGTGATCCCCTAACACGTACTTGGAGTTTTCGTTGGTAAAGGAAGTTGCCAATCCAACCAAGTACAGGGTCTCCGATTCCGTAACTTTGCAGTCTTTGAAGTAGGATGCGGTGATCAAGGCGGTCGAAAGCTTTGGAGAAGTCCAGATAGATGACGTCGACTCCGACCCCATCATCGGACACTTCCGTCCAACTACCTCGTGCAATGCGTAGGTTGGTGGTGCATGACCGGTGTTGACGGAAGCCATGCTGTTCCGGTACCAAAATGTTGCATTTTTCTAGGTAGTCCATTAAAGCTTCAGCGACGACTGCTTCCATCACCTTCGAGAGCACAGGGAGGAGAGTCACTGGACGATAGTTAGCAGGATCGGAACGGCTACCGCCTTTAAAAATAGGGGTGATAATACCACACTTCCACATAGTGGGGACTTGTTGTTCATCAAAGCACTTTTGGAAGAACTGTGACAGTGGTTCAGCTAGCTTGGTGGCCATAGCCTTCAGTGCCTTCGGGCGGATGTTGTCTGCTCTCGGATAACTATGTTCACGCAGTGAGAGTAACTTCCTTAACACAATTGATGGGTTGAAAATTACATTTGTAAACAAAGGTGTCAGTAATGTGATTGATATTATGGGACAGGTAGATGTTGCGAGTTCGAAGATTGGGGCGTATTGAAGCCGCAGGGCATTAGCTGCTTTTTCGGCGCTTTGTATTCTACCGCCTGTCGTGAAAAGTGGGGGTATTCCATGCTT